TCCTCCTTCCAATATCCTTTGTATTTAAAGGGGCAATTCAAATCTAGCATCCCAAAGCACCAACACTACTTTAATCACATCAAGCTTTTAAACAGCAGCGTAATTCGGGGGGTGGGAGAGCTGTCAGTGAAGCACAACTCTACCTGAGCAATACACGCAATATCACTCCAACATCTTGCACAAGTGGTTAACCACCCTGACTGTCTCCAATCTTCTGTGGCTGGTGCAAGGTCAAGACAGGGAAGTACACCGGCAGTTGTCCTGTGTATTACACATAAGGAGTGTTTAATAAACAGTGGTTGCTGATACTGCTTTTAAATTCTAAGATCAAGCAATGGTTATAATTACCTACTTATGAAAAAAAAAACTGAAGCTCAATGGTTGCCATGGTCTGGGAGAGGAAGAGGGTAAAGGCACAAAGAATTGTGCAGTAGTGCCTTTTGGGATGACTGAATGGCTTGGTATCTTGATTGCGGTGGTGACCCTGACTGTGTTTGCACAGAACCGGACAGCAAGAATGCATTTTACTGTGCATTAGTCATACTGTACTTTTTTAAAGTGTCAACCAAGGTATTTAATCAGCTCTGAATAAAATAAACCCTGCAGGTGCACACTTGGCACAGTGACTACAGCTCTGCTCAGAAAACCTGCATCCTCTCTCCAAGCACTTCAATTCCCAGTTCTGCTCCTGATTCAGACGCCCGCTTCACACACACCCTGGGGGACACAAGGGAGAGCTCAAGGCAGGGAATCCTTCCTTCCACGTGGGAGACCCAGATGGAGCTCCTGGCACGCCCTGAATATGGCAGGCATTTAGGGAAAGAACCATCCGACTGGATCTCTCCTAGTCTAAATCTCTCTCCTATCTCTCTGCCTTCCAGATAAGGAAAATAAATAGCTCAATCAAGAAGGTTTTAACACCTTTAAAAAATAAAGCTATTTTTAAAAATAAAAATAATACAAACTAATAGGCATTTTATTTTCATTTGTTCTTAAAATTATAAAAGAAATCTAAGACCTAAAATGCTAATTCATATTTTCAGACCAAACTCTTGAATTAGAAGATGGACCCAGGGCCCAGTGCCGTGGCCTAGTGGCTAAAGTCCTCGCCTTGAATGCACTGGGATCCCATATGGGCGCCAATTCTAATCCCGGAAGCTCCACTTCCCATCCAGCGCCCTGCTTGTGGCCTGGGAAAGCAGTTGAGAACGGCCCAAAGCTTTGGGACCCTGCACCTGCGTGGGAGACCCGGAAGAGGTTCCTGGTTCCCAGCTTCGGATTGGCTCAGCACCAACCATTGCGGCCACTTGGGGAGTGAATCATCGGACAAAAAATCTTCCTCTCTGTCTCTCTCCCTCTCTATATATCTGACTTTGTAATAAAAAAGAAATAAATCTTCAAAAAAAAAAAAAAGATGGACTTATTTATAAAAAAAAATACTATCTGAACAATTAGCCAAATTAACTGTTTCAAAATAAAGCAGACTGTATTCAACATTTTGATGAAATAAAATACAGAAAGAGAACATGAAAATGATGTCTTTGTTTGTTAGATTTCTTATGATGACAAATATAATGGCTTCTTCCCTAAAAATCCAGTAAATAATCTGGAAAGTATAACATTAGTTTCAGTAAGCTAAGGAAAGGGATAAAAGTCTTGAGTTGATTTTCACAATTTATTTATCATCTCAAGGTACTCATCAAAGGTTCAACAAGGCTGCGCTCTCTGAAATTCCATTAACACCATTACCATGCAACGGAATTCTTTTAGCATAGATCTATGCATCTCTTCTGGCAGAAAATGGAGTTTTATAACAATTTATTACTCACTACCATATTAACCAAACAGATGGAGTACCAAACAAATGATTTTAAATGAGAAATACAATTCTGGTCAGCCTCCAGTATCTTTCTGCATACGTCCTGCTCTGAGGCAACAATCCCCTTGCCTTGCCTACCGGTCCCCACATTCAGTCAGTTATTTCTCCCTTTGATGGTGGATGCCCATTTAAGAGGGTTGTCCATTCAGTAATGAAGATGGAAGCTAGGAGAGCACGGCTCATGAGCCTGACATTTCCACTAAAACCATCCTGTAAATGCCGGCATCTCAGCCAGTGTGCACTCCCTGCTATTCCCCTAAGTTCCCAATTATCACCTTGTCTGCTAATCCACTCCCACCGCTACCTACGCAGCACCTGACTGCATTCACTCCTTAAATCTAAAAGGTGCACAAAGAAAGCAAGACGTCACCACTGCTCTTTCATGACTGCCTCTACTTCAGCTTTTCATTATTTCCTAACAAAAGCGAAATACAATTTTTGCCATTCGTGTGACAAAAATATCCGTGCAGTAGTTTCCTGCTTTATAAAACTTGGTGTTAAAGTAAAAGAGGCCTTTTATTCTTTGATCCATTGTGATATTGCCTTGATTCAAAGGACACATCTTCAGGAAATATCACACCGAATTTCTACAATCTTGACACTTGAAAGCACTATTCAAGGAGAAACAGACCAAGCGATTACCTCCTTAAACATGCAATCCTCTTTCCTATAACCAGGCTCGATCAACTTTTAATGCCACTTCCATACTTCTCCAGAGAATTTAAGAAAACCTAAACAGAGGTAAGCCACCAAAGGACATCCAAAGTGCCAGACCAGACGGGGGACTGCTGCACCCCAGGCCATCTGCTTCACAAGTTCACAGAACTTAGGAAAACCATCCTTTCATATCATCCCTTAGTTGAAGCAATTCTTTGAGCCCCTATTACATCCCGGGCATTGTGGAGTTAAGTGGACCAGCCTAGCAGGAAAGCTGCCATCTGCAACTCTGACATCCCATACGAGTAGCTGCTCCGCTTCTGATCCAGCTCCGTACTAACACGCCTGGGAAAGCAGCAGGAAATGGCCCAAGAGCTTGGCTAACTGCACCCACGTGTGAGACCAGGAAGAAGTTTCTGGTTCCTGGCTTTGGACAGGCGCAGCTAGGGCCATAGAGATCATTTGGCAACTGAAACAGTAGATGGATCTCTCTCTCTCTCTCTCTCTCTCTTTCTCTCTCTCAGTTAGCCCAAGTCTCAAATAAATAAATAAACTGATTTTTCAACACAAGTCAACTGCTTTCATCAGGAAGAAGACACATGATGAAATATCCTTAAAGGATTTGGAATTCAATGTAGGCATCAATGCTATGTCCCCTAAACAACGACTTCTAAATAATTAATCATTTCCCCAAGTGTTTCTAGTCTTAATGAACAAATGATATCTACCAATACATTTTCAATTACGTGTATTGCAAATATGGACACACAATGACAATCTTTATTATCACCCGTGAATGTCAAACGAAAGATGCTGTTGTAATTCAGTATGCTACACTATCAATCTCAGTATGAACACTAACAAAGGTTCTTAAATGCAGAAACAATTGGGGGAAAGGGATAAAATTAGACGGGGTGGTATCTTCTGTGGACTTTTCACCTCAAATTTCATTCACACCACAATACAAAATCACCACAAATAACTGGTGACCGCTAAAAACAGAAATGTCACCTCGCTGCCAATGGGATTGATGATCACGCAGTTACAGGCAGCTTCCATGGAAACGGAAGCTACAGAGTAAAACGCGAGCCCAGTCGCTCAGAGCTGCCAAGGCGGCAGGAGCGCTTCACCTCCCTCAGCCCAACTCGGGCTGCTGCAGGTGGCGAAAGCACTGGGTCTGGAAGCCCTTGGCTTGCGCCTTTGTCCAGACATAAACTGCAAACAGATGACAAAGCGAGATGCAGTTTCACAACGGCCTCTTCCACAGAGCACCAAGGCGGCGGATTGCAGTAGAGGACTGCCCAAGTTGACAACACCATCACACATTTTCACAGCACTTGGAGGATTTCTGGAGGTCCAATTCCGATTCACAGCCCCTGTGCCAACTCTGCGAGGTGACATGTCCTGTCCCCCGATCCTGTCTCAGCCCCCGAAGGGCGGGTGCAGCCGGGGCACTGGGCTTCCCCACTCACTGTCTTGACTGCCCCCTGATTTTCAGAAAGCCACATTCTCCTCTTGGCTCCCAACTTGAGCAAGCTCAAGCGGCTGCTCTTGCCTGAGACTGCTCTCCTTCGCTCCTCAACTGCTAGGTTTGGTTTGGTTTCTTTCTTTACACTTCATGTCAGGAAACATATTTTTACACTGCAGGCCAAACTGTAGTTATTAGAACGAAACCACCAGAAACGCAGGAGTTCCTAGTATCACTTCTTGAGTTCAAAATGCACACAACAATCGCCGGTTTTCTTTCTTCTTCGGAGACATCACACCACGCAAAAGATCTCAAAAACCAAGCCAACTGCCCCCAAAGAACTCGCACGGCCCTGGAGGCCTGCCTGCTGCGGCAAGGGAAAGATTCAGCCGTGCGGAACTGTAACCTCCGGGAGATCTGAGCCTAAGAAAGCGGAAATCTGCATTTACATTCAGAAACCTATTCCATGTCTGCATGTGACTGAGTGGCCTGGCGCCTGGCACCCTGGAAGTGTAAACCATCTGCAAGAGGCAACAAACTAAAATACAGGTCACAAGAAAACGGCTAATCTCTATGCATCAGCCTGGGTTGTTTTGTTTTTTAAGAGAAATTATCTCACATAATCCCGGTCTTTGAAATACAATAGAAACCTCACAGCCTAAACCTCCACAGAACACGCCTCAGCCAGGTAGGTACCAGGCCCTGACGCCAGGCCAATCCGAGGAGAGATGACAGCCCCAAGTTCAACTGGGGATGTGTGGGCAAGGCTCCCCTGCACGTTAGGGATCACCTCTGGGCTCTTCCCCAGTGCCATCTGCATCCAAGCCTTGCTCGCCAAGCCAGGAACGCGCGCACCAGGGTTCCTGCTGACGGAGGGGTGGGGGGGGGGGGTCCCCTTCTGCAACCTCCCTTCCTTCCGCCGCCACCAGCCCCGAGAAGGGTAACCGAGCCCAAGGGCGCCGGGAACCGGCGAGGGGCGCCCCCTCTCCCACCTACCTTGATGATGCTGCTCCGGCGGGGCAGGCCGCCCGGTTTGCTCTCCCTGGGGAGTGGACAGGCGATCGTGCCGGAGGTCTGGGCGAGCGCCACGCTGCGGGATCCCCCGGCGGGGCTGGCCCGGGCTTCGTCCCCGGACACGCCGAGGCTGCAGTCTCCGTTGGAAACCCCGCCGCTGTCATAGCGCGCCCGCCCGTGGCCGAGGCGCCCTCCCCCGCTGCCGCCTTCTCCGACTCCGGCTTTGAGGGCGCCCTTGGCGCCGAGGGCCGGGCCCGGGGAGGTGGGCAGGGCCCCGCCGGCGGCGCCCCCCCGGCCGCACTCCGCCATGGGCGCCCCGCGACCCGCCTCACAAAGCCGCGTCCCCGCGTCCCCGCCGCCGCCTCGGCCGCCGCGCGCGGCCCCTCCTCCTCCTCTCCTCCTCCTCCCGCTGCCGCCGCCGCCTCGGCCGCTTCTTCCGCTTTTTTTTTTTTTTTTTTTTTATTTAGATGTGATGTTTGTTTCGAGCTCGCCCAGAGCACGCTTAAAGTCGCGGTGACAGGATGGTCGGAAGGTTCCTGCAGGGGAGAGGGGAGAGAGACGCGAGTCAGTCAGCTCCCGGCACCTGGGGAAGGAAAACACACCCGACACTCGCGCCCCGGCGGCGGGCACCGAAAATACCGCGCGCGGCCGGGCGCCCGCCTCGGGGACCGAAGCACCCAGCCTGAGGGGACGGGGCGCCCGCATCGGGGTGCCCGCGCATCGAGGGCGCCCACCACGCGGGGAAAAAAAAAAAAAAAAAAAAACAGAGGCGCCCACCTCGGATGCCCCGACGTCCCCGGCCGCCCGGATGCGCCTCCGAGGGTCCCGCCGCCCCGGACGCTCTGACGCCAGGGTCTCTGAGCCCTCAGGATCCCCCAGAGGCCACCGCGTGCCGAGCGCGTCACGCACCTCAGCTCGCCCCCCGAGGCCCTCGGCGCCCGGAGGAAGCGCCCGGTGGGCAGGAGCTGCCCGGAGCCTCCGGCGACCCAGGCGCCCACCCCGGCGGCCGTGTCCGTCCCGAGCTCGGCGCTGCCCTCTGCAGGCCACGGGGACCCTCCCCGGCTGTCGGCTGACCCACCGCGAGCTGCCCTGGTCATCGCGGCTGTTGGCCCAGCCATCCGGCTGTCGGGGGAGAGACCTCGTTGCCCAACCGACGACGACGACGACGACGGGCGGCGGCTGCGGCGCCTCGTTTCCCCAACCGTCCCTGGAGTGGCTGCCACTGCGGGTCATCTCCTCCCGAGTTTCCAGGAGCCCCGAGGCTGAGGCCTGTGGACCTGGGGGCTCACCCGTGGCACCCCTCCACGCCCGTCCACGCAAGATCGGTCCACTTCCATCTAACTCGGGGGAAAAAAATCCTTCCTACAAGTCAGGCCCATTTCAAGGACAGGAACCGTTTCACCTAATGTTCCCTTGGGCTGCTAAACCGTGGGTGGACACGCGTTTGTGGGGATGCTGGGTGCGGTGAGGAGGGGTGATGGTAGGGTCTCTCCCTGCCCTCTGATTCCGCCTACCATCGCAATCGCTGTCTGGTAGTGTCCTTCGTGAGCCCACCACCAGGGCTGCCACCAATTAGGGCTCATTTGGGGAGCAGGGAGGGGTGCAGGACCCCAAGATGCCTGGAGGAGGCAGCCGGTCTCACCTCTCTCTGGTCCTTTAGACCCCACTCAGAGAGGGTGGCTTAAAAGTCAGAGCCAGTTGCAATTGCTCCCCCACAGAAATACTTCCTCCTGGAAATCAACATCCCTGGAGCCAGATGGGGCCCAAGCGCCACTTTGTGGTTTCCTGCTAGGCCCCTGTGCACCTGCCGCCTTCCCGCTCTGCTCTGACCGGTGTGTTTCCTGGGGTACACGCTCCCACCTGCCCTGGCGGGAGGGAGAACCTGACCCAGACCACAGCAGCCAGTGAACCTGAAGATGATGCTTTTGTTAGCACTGTGTTGGAACAAACCGCTCCCTTCATCCCCTGTAGGAACAAAGATGCTTCCATGCAGCAATTGGGGGAGTTTTAATTCTGCTGATTTTCTGTATTCATGTTGTAGTAACTCCATCACACATCTCTTGCCAACCTGGGCCTACACACTTAACAAATATTTGTACATGGACTGACAACAACGTTTTAATATTTCATTTGGTCCCAGCCTTTCCCTTCCTTCCTTTGCTAGTTGTGTTTTAAAATAGTGGGTTTTTTCCCCCCATTTTGTGATGGTTTTGCAGAAAGATAAATTCAAATAATTCCAGCATAGCACTTAATCTGTTCTACCAAACATACAATCATAATGGCCCACAAGTCAGTCTAGGAGAGGGAAAGAAGAATTTAGGAGTTTTGTTCTTTATGTGCTCTAATTTTTATATTTTTAACAAGCACCTGCAGAGACCTCAGCCCTGTGCGTGTGAGGACCCAATCCCTGCATTTCGTGGGCTGTGATGGACACTGCGAGGACACTGAGCAAGGGCCGGGGGAACCCTGAGGTCTCTCCCAGGGCGGCCATCGAATTCACCAATGCCCATCCATCTCTCTCTGGCCTCCCAGTAGTTCAAAACGAGGAGCCATCGCTGAAATAGGCTTGGCACTTAAATTAAAACGTTTCCCAAAGCGTCTTGGCAGACCTGAAACTACTGAAGCCAGAAGCCCAAGGCCTGTGCCAGGTTCCTTTTTATCCCCAAAGTGCCTTCCTCCCACAAGCTGCTGGTCACACGCCTGTGATGTTACGGCGGTACTTCCTCCTTGTGCACACAGCCAAACCATAGGTACTATTTCTCAGATTCTGTGATAGCAAGCGGCAGGTTCCTCTGACATGGGCAATTCTTGGCTCCCAGCAGGCATTTTAATAAGCTAAGCTCCGAGTTTTGTCATCACAAACAGCGTAGTAAGCAATTGCTGTTCCTCCTTCAGGCTTGTCTCTGCAGTGAGTGAGTGAAGCCTTCCCATCTCCCGCATTCCACGAGCAATGTTACTGAAGAAATCACAAATATTTTGCTGAAATGCTTGCTGAAGTGTTTTCATAGCATTGCAAAATTCATAGAGGTTAGAGTTAGAAAAGGAGCCAAAACAGCACAGCTACTCCCCAGCAAATGTTGTCTAATGCTTCCTTCCGACAAATTGGCAGCGCAGGGCGGTAAAAGATAGGCAAGACATTAATAAAATGCTCATTCTGGCTAACTTTGTGTTGCTTATGCCAATTTATTATATCTGTAATTCTGACAGCTTCTGATGAGTAATTTATTCCTAATATTTAAAGTCAATAGATGCCTTTAAGAATCTCATTATTTCACACCAGGCATACACACCTCTATTTCTTTTAAGCTCTTTGTATTTCAGTCCATCTCAGTGTTTAACCACTGTTGTAACCCTTCACCCAACTGTCTTCAATTTGTTTGCATCATTAATTTGATGCCTAGACCTTGAGCAATGCAGGCTCCCAGGTCCATAATAAACTCCTTTCGGCTTCCGAAAATAACACGCTGTGTACTGTTATCCTCATAGGTTATGAATTCATATCTAGTTTCCAGTTCACGGCCTCTAATATTATGACTCTCCAAATTTTTCTGACTCACTGAGCTCTCAGCTGTCAGATTACTGGCTCCCTCAATGCATTATGACAATTCTCATTTCCCAAACTTCAATCTCATTGTATCTCCTGGATTTGGCTGAGCATGCAGAGCAGCCCCTGTGCCTTGCGATCTGACTGCCCTCCATGCACTCAACATGGAAACTAACTGGAGCAGAAAGTAGACCAGCACGCTTCACAGATTATTTCATGGTCCCGGTCCACACTGGCGGCCCATTTGCTTACTGAGTCTGCCAAAGATTCTGATCTTAATCTGTCACCCTCTTTCAGCTTGGATGATGTTTATTTTATCAGAATGAGGTAATGTGTAGTGGTTATGTTTCTTCCTGGGCTCTCGTGGCCACTGGGACCTGCCAAAGTCTTTCTTTCCGTGTCCTCCTCTCCTCTGACCTCAGGGAATCCATCAAAGCTTTACATCCACTGCTTCACCAACTTATTAAGTCTTTTGTGACTATTGATTTAGGGAGCGCTTGGAGGGAATCTATAAATTGCTGGGGATTCAATGAGATTATTACACCAGAAAAAAAATATGATAAATAAGAAACCTTACTTATCATGCTTTTGTAAATTCTCATGTGATTGAGAATTTATTAATTAATACATCATGAATGTATTGTAGTTGTAGATTCGATCGCCTCTGGGGACCAGGTGAGTACTCTTATGAAACTGGAGGGATTTATTTTACAGCATCATTATTCAACAGTGATGTAATTTACATGTCAAGAACACAGGAAAACTTGGATTCTAATTTTGATAGGGTCTTCATATAAGAAATATCTCAGTTCCTTCAGAAGTCTAAGCTAGGTGTGTGAATACACTGACCAACAGCGCCCGGCTCAGCCAGCGGTGGGTAGCACTGTGGAGCGAGAGGGGCTCTGAGCAGCTGATGAAGGAGCCAGAGCTGCCAGGGAGCAATCCTTGCTCAGTGCTGCCAGACTCATCTGACTGGTCCAAAGACAGAAATCTGGAATATGAATTTTTCTCTTACTTACTCATTCTCTTAATAGACAATTGAGGCCTTCATGTTATTCTTTGTGAGGTTGCAGAGGGGCCTACATTTTCCTTATTCTTCAAATTGCATGTTAGTTAAAGCTTAACAAAAGTCTTACAAATCCTATTTGTATCTCTGTGTCAGCCTGGCTTTCAAAGACAGCTCTATTTCCATGAGTTTAAGAAGTCAAAAGTGTGAGGGTCACATCACTTCGTACACCCAGCGTGGGAGACATCACTTCAGCCTACTCCCTGTCATTCGCCAATTCGATAATCCTAATTCCAGAACTATTCTAACTTTGAATCTAAAACTCAGAAGCCTATTGTCTATCCAGAGACACTGCCTTTCCATCATTCCTGCTATGTTTTAAAATATTAGTTTGGGTATCCCCTAAAGGCTCATTGTAAAAGGCTTGGCTGCAAAGTCTTAATGTTAGTGGTGTTAAGAGAGTAGAGATTCGGGGCCTGGCATGGTAGCCTAGTGGCTGAAGTCTTCACCTTACATGTGCTGTCCCCTAAGGAGATGAGGTTTGTGTTCAAGAGGCACCACTGGAAGCAACCCTACTTAGGACTTATTTTCTTTTTTTAAAGATTTATTTATTTGTATTGGAAAGTCAGATATACAGAGAAGAAGAGAGACAGAGAGGAAGATCTTCCGTCCAAAGGCTCACTCCCAAAGTGGCCGCAACAGCTGGACTTGAACCGATTCAAACCCAGAAGCTTCTTCCAGGTCTCCCACAGGGGTGTAGGGTCCCAAGGCTGTGTGCCGTTTTCCTCGGCCGCAAGCAGGGAGCTGGATGGAAAGTGGGGCCACTGGGATTAGAATTGGCACCCATATGGGATCCTGGCACATGCAAGGCAAGGAATTTAACCACTAAGCTACCGCACCAGGCCTGGA